TCATCTTTGAAGACCCATTGAGCCGATTGTCGCTTGTTTTCTGGCTCGTAACAATAAATCCAACTTTCGTTACCTGTTACAATGTCGTACACTGATTTTGCCCGACCTCGGTTAAATTTTTTAAGCACTTTTTTACACCAATTCACACGCGCTTTTTTTTGAGCCTCCGTTAAATTGTGTGGTATCCACCGAGCGCAAAGCTTTCTGATGGCAAGATGATCATGCAGGATAGTTCTGATTTGGGTCATACCTATGCCCAATGATATCTGAATATCCATGTATGTGCATCGGTTATCTGCCTTTATCATGTTGAGCACGGCATCGATGTTTTCTGCAGTGACAGGCCGTCCCTCACGATGCTCGTCTTTGAGCGAAACACGTCCACGCTGAAACTCATTGTACCACCGTTCAACAGTCGCCAAGGATGGTGCTTCAACGCCAAACAATCGCTTGATTTTTTGCGAACACTGTTGTCGAGTGAGACCGTCTTTAAAATTGTAGAAAATCATGGCTCGAAAATTTTTGCGCGTTAATTCCATTTTTCACAAAACTCACTTTGTTTAAAAAATTATTAAACAGAGACAACAGCATATGCTAAGAATTTGTAAATGCTATTTGGACTAAAAAATCTCGGAGAATACGAAAAAAATATTTCCGACAGCGCCATCTTACGGGAAATAGCTAAACCGCAAAACTTTAAAAGCAACCTACGCGTCAAAGATGAAAATGAACGTATTAGCATTCTTACACACGTCACATCTCAATGTCATGGTAATGTCACGAAGACACATAGTATGAAATCGTCGTCAAACCATCTATCGAACCGATACCGCCGTTCTGTCGAACTGCCTGTCGAATCGATACACCTCTTTAGTCGAACAGCCTATCGAACCGATATCCCTGTTCTATCAAATCAATTCCATTGAGCTGTCTATCATTTATAACTGCAAAGAAATATTATTCTTTCATTCGCGACCATCACCAGTTAGAAATTTTATCTGCGACAAAGATAAATATGAACTTGTCAATATTTTCACACACACACGCACGCACGCACGCACGCACGCACGCACGCACGCACGCACGCACGCACGCACGCACGCACGCACGCACGCACGCACGCACGCACGCACGCACGC